CACAACGAAAGGAGACTGCTACCACACAAAAGGCCATACCATCTTGGTCTTTATACCATCGATGATCTACGGTATATTCAAAATTTGATTTAATTATTCATACACCTCCATTTACGAACCCATACTGTACTAATTGCCAAAATTTTTATTTTGTGGATAAACGAGAAAGCCACAAGTAAGTTGACTATATTTTTTCCAGTATAAATGTGTTAAATAGGAGTCTCAAGTTTGCTAATAACGACAACCCGCAGTTAGACTTTAGAAGGACTTGTAGTAGTAAGCGTTGGATACACCTTCTCAGCCCAGCAACAATGTAAGCGGAAATATTTTGACATATTTTGATGAGACATTAAGTTGCGTTGTTACCACATCATTTTATTTGGCATAATCCAAAATAAGTAAAGTTCTTCTGGTGTCACTAAAGGACGATAAAGACGCCATAGTAAACCATTAAGTGGTTTTGATAAGGCTATTCAAAAACGTCCAAACTAGCTATCAAATGATTGATTTAAAAAATCCCCACTTATACTGCAGCAACCCAAAAGTTAATGAAAAAGAAGTGATAGAGATGGCTTATGATGGTGATAGCTTTCATGTAACATGGACCTCTATTTTCCGCTACAAAATTGAGGTAAAAATACGAACAAGATGCCAGAACGCATTATACGTGCAAACCGCAAGTCACTAGTGATGGCAACAAAGATGATAATTCGGTCGAGCAGATGGAATAAGCTCCTGAATAATAAGGTGATGCAGTTAATGGAAAATGGAGGCCTGTTGGCGAAATACGCAGGAGGAAACAAGTAGGCATGGTTGGTGAATGACAAGATTGAAAAAGCGAAGAAATAAATATATATGTGCTCTATGCAGCAAGGACCTGAAGTCCTGTTCTTGAAGGTGCAAAAGAAGATAGAGGTTGACAAATGTATGAGGGATGAAAGACGCATTGAGAGTTTTAGGATCAAACCATCTTGTCTAAAAATAGATCTTGAATGAGACAAGGTACGATAAGAAAAGTAAGATAAAAGATAAAAGACATCAATCCTAGCTATGGCAGTCAGATGGGAAAAAGTCAACTAGTCAACGAACAAGAGAATTACAACAAGAACGAACTAAATGAAAAAATGCATAATTGAGCACCGTATAGCAATGCGTACATACATAAGAGGAAACATAAAGGATGCGCATGAGACAGAGATGAAAGTAAGCAAGAAGAACTTAGGCTATGGGACAGCCCCGAATAGGCAGAAGCATTCATATGAGGAAACAGAACGAAGGATACTCAAAGAAGTTGCCAGGCAGGCATGCCCACACAAGTATTGGCAGATGTGGATTTGAATGTATGTACAGGAACAACCATTTCACAAATAGGAGATAGCCTTTTTGCGCTCTCACTGCCTAAATGTGGTCAAGATTGAGCCAGCAAAAGAAAAAGTAAATCACTTTTATAAAGATTAATCAAGTTAAGTTAAAAAAAATAAGCATCGATAAAGAGAGGGCGCAAGTAGGTTGACATAAAACCCGATGCAGCAATAAACGTGGTAGTGGAAGAAGATACTGACAATGGCGATATCGATATAAAGAGTAAAAGCAGCAGCAGTGGCTATTTTTGTGATGAAAGAGGTAAAGCGAACCAAATATAGGTGTAAAAATGAGTGATTTAGTCAATCTAAAGAAGAAATCACTGGGGTAGAAAGGTTTATGCTGGACGATATATGGAGATTTAATGAATTAAAAATAAATAAATAGATTTATGTGCATAAAAATATGTATATAAGATTCTCAGAAAGACATAAATATAAATATAAATATATATGCAGATATGTATATAGGATAGGTTGATTGAAAGATGGATTGAGAGATTGATAAATATATAACATACATAGGCACAGGTAGGTAGAAGGCAAACGAGCAGTGGTAAGTTGATACGTAGGTAGATAGGCGATGAAACATAAGTGAGGCATACAAAAGTATGTAAGTTAACACCATAAATTTGTCATTGGCCAAAAATGTGGTCACATAATAAGTGGTCATGTGGGTAGATGTAGTACCAAAGCATAAAAGCAGGCCAGCCGATATTATCCTGTAAAAGAAGAGATAAGCAATGTCTGGAATTCGTCCACAGACCGAATTCAAACTAGCCTACAGAGTGAATGACTTAGATGAAGGAAGAACTATGCACGACGGGGGAGAAAACAAGAGAAATTATCGGAGAACTTTCAGGGATAAGGTTTAATATATATAACTTAATGAGACGGACTAACAAGACATTTATAATGAGACCATCTCTTGGTTATGCAATTAATGCTTAGGCATCCGGCACAAACTTGCCAACACATAAATAACACTTGGAGCGTGCTGAGGCCTGATACTACCGTCCAGAGCAAAAATAGGAAGCTCGAAAAAAGCATTGAGCCAACAGTCTATTAAGTAGCCGAAGTATGGCAGAAAATGAAGGACAAAGGAGAAGCCGCCTCATAAAGGGGGCGGAAACCTGAGTAGAACTTCAAAAATTTGCTCGTTTTGAATGTGTGGTCCAATGAAGACATTGGTGGACCTTGTCCTGATAACCAGAGTTTAAGAATTCTGTAATTTTATGGCAGAAAATATTGATGCCACTAGAGATCATAAGCTCAATCACATAAGCGAGACATAGTAAGACTTCAGAAGTATATGAGCTAAAGTCAAAGATATTTTTATACTTTCGAAGCCCTCGAATGAATAGTCATATTCTAAAACTTAAGGTGCATAAATTTATGGAAGATTTACATAATTATGCTTTATTAATGAATGGCTGGATGACTAACTGGATAGGGTAGGCAGGTGGTCGGGAGGGTTAATATGCCCAAAATGCATAAAAACAAATAACCGCTAAACATTTCCAAAAGAAATATCAAAGGAAGGATAAAACGGCATAGTTAATAGGCAAATATGGGAAATATGTAGAATCGCCCACTCGAACGAAGACTAACCGATGGAGGGCACACCGGGAACGAGTGAATGAATTTGAAGATAGGATGGGTGGATTTGGAGGCGATTCGGTCGGTTTAACATTGTTTAACAATACTTGAGAGAGCAGGTCATCTCTGTGCAAAAAGGCACTCGTATACTCAAGGACCAGCCAAGAGGCCAGTGGCTTCACTAAGAATGAATTGTCGTCTTTGGAGTTTGACTAATAAGCATTACTCTTACATGTGTTTGCGTATTTGTTCGCGGTTAATAAACCAACGGATAATGGTGAGTGGTTTTGAGTGCAGCTAATTCTGATATCTAAATAAATCCGAGGGCTACAGTGTTGGGATCAAAGAAAAGTGATTAAGAGGGATTTACAAGAAGTGTTTGATGTAGTATATGAAACTGAGGAAAATACTTGCATAATTTTGAGCAGGCCCAAATAGGGACAGTAGACGAGGTAATAGAATCGTTAGAAAGATGCGCCATAATTGAGCTATCGTTCTATAGGACATCAAGCGAGTAATGTACCAAGGAATGAGCTGATCAAAATAAGATGAAATGTATGGCAAATATTTAGATAAACTGGGAAAGTGAGATTGTCTTGAGTAGAAAGCAGAAAGATGTATGCAAAATAAGTTTTGAAAAATCTTTTGAATAATGGGACATTAGAGAAAGAGGAATATAACAGAAGCCACAAAGCCACCTGACGCAAAGTTATAATTTACATTTGGTTAAGGTCTCTTGTGAGAAGTGAATTACAATAGTTGCTATGGTCTAAGATAGCTAGTTTTTTTATACCGAACCAATACGACTAGAGCAATCATTTTCAAATAGTGATCTAGGCCATCAAGGCTATTTGTACTCTAATTAAGAAAATTAGTTGATAAATAAAATCCAATTAAGGGGCCTGCAAATGAATGTGATTGAAAATATGGAAATTTATAAAGATGCATATAGAAAAATAGAAAAGTCATGTGGGTTAAGATAGAAAAATGGGTCATACGACTTAAGGATGAAAAGAGTGCCTATAAAATGGTTTATTGATATTTGTATAGTTATAACTATATAACTGTCTAATCCACTGAGTATCATATTGTGTAATCTATCAAATATGCACAATTTACTTAAATGCCTGGGACAGAAGATAATTTATGCTGTAATATTTTAACATCAAATACGATAAAAATCCCCAGGACAATAAAACATCAACAAGAAGCGTAATAAGAGAAGTGGTTAAATTAGGAGAGAAGAGTGTGGGGGCTGCAATGCAAATTAGGTGTTTATTAGAAACAAGAAGGCCAAGGCATGGCTAAAAATTGATGCGACTTAGGGAAGATGTTACCATCAAAAATTGCAGGTCTAGTTGGTCGCCTATTTATCCTTGTGTTTCTTTATCTATATCAAATTGAAATTAAGAGTTTAACGTTTTTCCAAAGCTCGACTCAACATTTTCGCAACAAGGCTACCGGCCGGCATTGTCTCCGCGACAAAAATTTTTTGAGGTTTGTTTGGCCGCCCAACTGAGTTAGTGGCCGTAGAGCTGTTACTACGGATTCTCGCTGAAGAAGTCTGAACCATTGATCTAGAGGCAGCTGATTCTCGATCTGATTTTGAGGAGTGCACTATGCCAGAACCTGGAGTTGAGCCTGATCGACTAGAGACGGTTCCTGGCCGCTTTATCAGACCAAAACGAACTAGTAACGACAAATCGCCTTCGGCTCCAGCGCTTGAGTGCTTTTTTTTACTGGGTTCCGAAGAGAGTGAAGATGATGCCGGTGTCTCTTGCAAAACAGATGCTGGATCTGAGGCGGGAGAACAAGACCGACAGGCGAGAGAGGTTGAACGAGAAGCATCTGAATAGGAAGAAGATCCCGAATGAGGGGCAGAGAGAGATGATGATGAAGTGGTAGAATTTGTAGATGAGAGCGAGGATTCAGAGCCAGAACATGAACTACGTGATAGAGAATTTGAGGCGGCACCTTGCAAAGATGAAGAGGGCCTAGCAGCAGAGCTAGCTCCTGAGATGGCGGAGGAGCAGGCAGACCGAGAGGGTGATGATGAGGCTGAAGGGGAGGAAGATGTTACCGAAGACCCTGAAGAGTCAGAACGGGAGCTGGACGAGTTGGACAGAGATCTGGAGCGCCTCGAGGATGACTGGCTAGTAGAAGACGAGACGTTGAGTGATGAAGAGTTAGTGTGAATGGTAGCAGGTATGTTTGAAGTGATAAGCTCTGTGGCTGCAAGGCAATGAGTAGGTAAAAGTACGCCAGGCTTCCGAAAACTAGTTCCCGGAGTAAGACGAACGGCAGAAGTGGAAATACGACTAGGAACAGGAGAGTGAGAATCAAATGGCAGAGGTGTGCAGTCCACAGCTTGCTCCAATGCTTCCTCGCATGTTGGAGTGGCATCTGCTCTAAGATTCTCACCGGCCTTATTACGCCAGCCTGTTGCTCTATTGGTTGATGAAAGAATGCTATGAAGACGGTCAGGGAATTCGAGGCCGGTTGTCAGAGGGAATGACAAGAGATCGTGTTGGTCACGCCGGCGGCGATGATGCCTGCGCAGAAGTTGCTGATGATGTGTCTGCTTGGTGTCATTGTAAGACTCCACGATCTTCTTGCCATCGCTTGGGGCCCGTCGTCTGGCGGCCCTAGCCAGTAAGCTTGTCTTGGTTTCGTTACGCTCTTCGGTACGATGTTGATTTCGGCGACGACCCTGCTTACCCATCCCACCTTTATCCTCACGAGTTTTCTGGGCTTTACAAAGTGGCACTGGTGACTTGTTAACAGGCACGGTAGAAATTGTCTCACAGCTGGAGATCAACGAAGGCGCGAGCAGATCACCCCTCGGGGCACCTGACTTGACTGTCGCCTTAGGAGCAGCTGCTGGCACTGATTTCAGTGTAACCGTGCTGCCACCACTAGCAATTGTCAAGGCGATAGAATTGGCCGTTAAATTAGGGCCTGTGACGGCACTGATTAGCCCTCTAGTTTCACTAATTCCACTATCTAAACCAACAGAATTCTGGTTCTCGGATCCAGCATAGGGAAGTAGTTCACTCGCACAAGTATTCAATCTTGAGACGGATCTCAGTAGCGTCGAGGTGCCCGTCAATTGCCTACTTGGCCCATTGATTTCATTTGAATGATTAGAGATGGCGGGATGCTTTTGTTTGTCCTCCTCCGTTACTTTCGATAAACACTGCGAATCAGAACCAATGGAGCTGGCTGAGTCGGCAGAATTAGAAGAGCTGGCGAGTCGCGGTGAAGGTGCATCCTCTTGTGTGCCTTGGCAGGGTCTGAGAGTTAATGGGGTAGAGATTGGAGGAGAATTTTGATGAAGTGGTTCAGGCATGAAATCATATGATGGCAAGCAACTGGGGAAATGAGAAGTTTCCAGTTCTACAGTGGCAGTACTCGTAACTACCGCCGATGTAGCCTCCTGTAGATTCTCTTCCTCATCCTCATTGGCGGCCTCTTCTACAGTTGGCTGGTCGGGCCCAGAGGAAACATGAACTTGTCGGAGCACCATGAAGTTGAGCATGTCTGAGAGTCCGACTA